TACCCTGGGGCTCAATGATTCCTTCAGGTACCCATCACTCTTCTCAAACAAAATGTCATAGCTAGGAAATAAGAACTGCTTCCTTAAATTGAGAAATGGGGGAATCACCACTATAAAGGGAAAAAGTAATTTTGGACTCCCTTCTTCTTACACTTTGCCTTATTTTTATTATAGTGTTGTTTAAATATAACCAAACATAAAACTTAATATATCTTCCTTCAGCTTTAGCGCTTAGAAATTTATACAGAAACACAATTTAAAAATCTGAGAAAAGCCAATAAAGAACTCGGCATAATTTAACATGACAGATCATGATGATGTGACTGCTCACTACACATTAAATAAAGTACCACCATAAACAGATTCCTGGCAATTCTACATGCCTGTACCCCCTTGAGACTCCGCAGCTACCCATCACTCTTCTCAAACAGTCAGGAAAACTGTCATGCAACCACCAATATCATCTGACCCAAACACATAATCTCTACAATATGGTCACATCTATTCTTTCCCTTTGGCTAGAGACAATCAAAGGAGTGTTCAAACAGAGGCTAAGACCTGTCACCCCTCTCCACATAAGGTCAGATGCAGACATTACAGAAGTTATGACATTTTTTTAATTATTAAAAAGAAGTTCAAAAACTTGACTCGAAATTTAACAAACTCCCAGGATAATTCTCCAAACACCACTTTATGAGGACACTGTTTTATATTAAAAGTGTCTTGCCAGTGTCCAGAAAGACCTGAAGCCTCTCGCATCTAATTTTGAGTGTCTAGCGTGCATTATCCCTCTAAGTCCCAAAATAACTCTATGAAGTAATGGAGGCTTGAAGGGAGAATCCAAGCGAAGTAATAATATCTGATTCCACAAGCACATTCTTTGCTCCTTCAAGCTAAGCCAGAGGGGCCTTAGCAGGCAGAAGATGACCAGGGATGGAGAATGAGAATCCAGGGAAAAGCAGTCAGTGACGATGGCACTTGGAAGGAAGAAAGGAGTTACAGGAAGATGGATGGTGGGGGAAAGGTAAGTCCGTGAAGTGTGACACAGAAGAATAACTGCCCCACCCTCCAGAGATGGCAGTGCTGAGAAGAGAAGGCAGGTGGTTTAAAGAAGCATGGTGGTTTAAAGAAAGACAAAAGGACTTATTCCAAGAGGGGATGGCTATCCTCTTCACATAGTATAGCTGGAGATACTGAAATCGAAGTCATATCACAGAAATCACATTTACAATGCGTAAGAATTATTTCAAAAAGAGAAGGCAGTGAAAGCACCCACCACAGACATAAAGGAGAACTGTACTAACAAGACAAGACCACTTGGTATCACGGTGGCTCAACAGACTGGTGTCCAGTGTAAATCAGACTGTAAGAAAGGAAGGTTAAGAAACAGCGGCAGCCTACCTGTGACAGCATGTGAAGATGCTGTCACACAACAGGCCACTCAGTGCCCACTGTGGCCTAGATGCTGCCCTTGGCTCAATCACAAACAAAAGCATCTCTACCCTCAGGGAGCTTATGTTGGTAAGACAAAGAACAGGAAGGCAAGTCCATAGGTAGCAGGGAACGCTGTGAATGCTTAGGAAAAAATAGCAGTATATGAAGAATATGGAAAGGGGTAAGTATTTAAGATAATGTCGGCAATCAAAAAGATCAACTGAACATCTTAAGAGGAGGTGAGAAGATAAAACCCAATTATTTCAAGCTACGAAAATTTGGGAGTATTCATACAAAATATCTACTGCCTGCTAGACAAGGCACTGTACTGATGCAAAAGAAACTGAAGGCATTCGAGAATCAGTGCACAATGAGGGGGAAATGGACAGTGTCCCAAACACTGAGGAAGAACAGAGGGTGCCAAAGACCTCACTGGGAAGGCAAAACCTCTTCACCATGTGGATGATCTTTACTTCTGCAGTCACTTCCCACTTCAACATTCTCTGACTCTTAGAAAAGGATCTATGCCCAAGAGAAATAAGCTTAGAGGGAAACAAAGAAGCAGAGGAGATTTGTATCACACAATCATTTAACAGATAGCTGTTTGTTGAGCAGGATCTACTGGGTGCCAGTCTCTGCTCACAAGGGAGAGCAAAAAATTGCTGGCACCTCCAGGTTACAAAGAGATTGTCTCTTAATTTACACCCCAAAGGGATGGGGAGGGGGGAGGTGTGAGGAGATGCAGGTGGACGGGAAAAGATGGGAAAGGGATGCATCTATGATACAATGAGGGCCAGACCTGGGATGGTGGTGTGGGTTCAGTGAAAGGTTAGATTAGGTAAGTAAGTGACCATCTAGTCTGCAGCTGATGAGCAGTCCGATCCTCTCTAGGCCACACTCACCAGATCTGTATTAAAGTCAGTTATCTCTCCACAAAGCCACAAACAGCTCATAGGAATCATGACCTTTTATAATCTCCAGATTCCCAGCAACTAGCAAGTAATGGAGGGCCAATAAATGTCTGAAGTCAAGTTTTAACGACATGAGTAAAGCAGGAGGGGCCAAATAACTGAAGGTTAATGGGTGTGATAAGCCAAATAAGCTAGGTTCCTGCTAAGTGTCTAAAACTGGTATAGTTGGCTTATAGGAATGGGGGGCGGGGGCGGGGGCGGGGGCTTGAAAAGTCTCTCCAATTCTGAGCCCCAACTTCTAAAACAAGGAAATTGGAAGTCAGAGGTTGCAGATCTTTGGCCAGACTAGAGGCATTCTTTATCCTAGAGAGTATGTGCATCTTTACTGTAGGGGCTGTTCCCCCTTTGGCTATAGTTCCAAACAAATTACGAAGATTATGCAGTTAATGTGGCCACCAACACAGAGGACACAAGAGGTTTATCATCCAAATAGGCCTGCTAGTGATGTGGCAGGTGGAAACGGTTTGGGAAGGGGGCCGGACAGCACACATCTCAGAGGTAAAACAGCAGACAGCTGAAGGAAAGACTGTGCATGAAAGAGCTATGGTTTCACGGTGGTTGCTCATTTCTGTGCTATAAACATGTAGACACACAATAAGTCTGGAAAAAATTGATTTTATGCAACCTGAAAGCTATAAAACTAATTTAAAGGTGTAAGAGCAGTAACTGCCATAAGCAAGATCATCTCTAGCCTTGAAAAGTATGTTTATTTACCATACTGACAGAGTTCTAGCAGCTGTACTTCTGAGTTTCTGAGAAATTCCCATTTAGAATCAGTAGACCTAAGACTTCCAAAACCCATAATTTCCCATACCAAAAGCTAAATCCCCCAACATTACAGGAAAACCCACAAACTTTGCAGAAGGGAGTGAAAAGGCAATTCAGCCCAAGGAATCTTCTGGTGCTATAAAAACAAACAAATAAAAATAGTACAAAGAGCACTGAAACATTTTTATTTGAATAGCTTTTCACTCAATCTCTAATAACTTCATTCTGAAGTCACAGAAAAGTATTAAATTACAGAGTGTGTATTTCTGGCCATAGCAAACGCCTAAAACATGTCACAATTTATGGCAGAAAATGAGCTTTTGAGTGTTAAGTCAAACTTAAAGAAGCTAAAGGCCAGGCAAAACTATGTGTTTGAAAATGCCTGAAAAATAGTAAATGCCTGAGGGAATTGGAGGCTTTTCTGCTTCTAAACCAAATAAAGCCTGGTGGCTTTGCAAAGATCCTAGTGAGGATAATCTCCGTGATTAGAGAGAATCAACCATCCAATCAAGTCCACCAGAACCCAGGAAAGTTAATCCAAGAAGAAATAATAACACTTGAAACGTTGAGAAAAATACACCGTTCTGTTTTTTAAAACACTGTCAGCGCTGGAGAACTTATCAGGTCATTCCGACAAGTCTGAACATATGACTGGCCAGCGTTTCTGTGACAATGCGTTGATTTTGTGTTAACGAAAGGACAAAGCAAGATGTGTGAGCTTCAAGCTCAGGCCTTGGGTCCTCTCCAGACTCCTGGCGGCCTCCCTACTTCCTGAACACACCTTTTAGTTACTGCACACTAACCTTCCGCGCACCGCTGGATCTGGGAGAGCTTCCTCCTTAAGGGTTATTCAAGCCAACTTCCCCAGGCAAGCTCGAGGGTTAAAAGTTCGTAATCTCTGACCCTCCACTAAAGTACAATCAGCGAGTGTCGCTAGACAAGTCGGGCAGCAGCAGTGTGATTGATTTACGTAAACAACTCGGAAGAGGTAACGCATCACTGCCAGGGGACAAGTCAGCAAGCTCTAGGCGGCCCCTGTGGAGAGGGGGTTGCAAAGCCAACCCGCCAGACAGCGCCTCTAAGACGCTCGCCGCGGCTCCTTCCAGGCAGCATTCCTAGCAGACGGCGCCCGAGCGGCCCGCACCTGCCCACCGCTCCCGGGGCGCAGCTCTCCTCGGGCACCCCCGCCCTGACACACACACCTCGCGGCCGCTCCCCGGGCCAAGGCCGGCGGGCCAAGTTTCAGCTCTTCGAGGCTCGGCCCACCCGCGATAAGGCCCAGAGCACATTCCTCGGAAGATGCCGAGATAATAGGGCTCACTCGCACCGCTTCCACCTCCTCCCGGGCCAGCTCCGGCCAAACGGGAGGCGCGCCGGGTTGGCGGCCGCAGGACGCGGGGCGAGGGGGCAGGTCCCGGGAGCGGGATGCCGCGCCGTCCTTGCCAACTGGGCACGGCCCGAGCCACCTGGCTTCTCACCTGCGCAGGCACAAGTGCCAGGTGGTAGTACCTGGATGAGTATCCCAACTACTTATCAGCCCGAAACGCTTCCCCCCAACGCCCAAGTTCTAGACACTACTTAGAAAACATCAAGTCGCTCGGGCTGAAATTAAAAGGAACTTTTTCTGCAGGGAGCAAAGGGAGAAAGAGGCAGGTGAATGCTGGTGAAGGTGGCTCCTCTGGGACCGGCTGGCAGTGGGGGGGTAGGGGGGGGGTGGAGGGGAACAGAAATGGAGGGGAGCGGCGGGGGGGGGGGGGCGAGGGGTGTCCGGCCTCGCCACGGCCTCGCTGCCCGAACGGCGACGCGCAGGTGAGGCTGGTCACTCACCTCGGGCAGCTCGCGGAGCTGATTGGCGTCCAGCAGCAGCTCCTCCAGGCTGCGGGCGTAGCGGTAGATCTCCTCCGGGACGTAGACGAGCGAGCAGTGGCGCTTGTCGATGGTCTCCACATGACGGTTGCACCGCCACAGGGGTATGCAGTGGAACATCGCCGCCCCCGCCAGCCGGACCCGAGCCGCGGAGACCCGGGCTCGGAGCCCGCTCCGCCCGGCGGCTCCGCGCCGCCCGCTGCCCACCCTGCGTGCGTTGGCTCCCTCGCTCGCCGGCCGCTCGTGCTCGGCTCCGTAGTCCCAAACGCTTCCAGGAATCTCGGGCGGGAGCCCCAGCAGCGTCCCAGCGCCCCCGCCCGCCAGCCGGAGCGTCCCCTCCCACCCTCAGTCTGGCCGCCGCCACCGCTACTACCGCGCGGAGCTTCCCTACTCGCTGCCGCCGCGCCACGGAGCATGCGCGTGAGTGGGCGCGCGCCGAGGGCGTTTCCCGGCCCGGGGGATGCTCGGCTCCGGGTTTTCTCGGCGACCTGGATCCGGAGAGGAGCAAGAAACCTGCAGGCCAAGCGCTGGCCGTCCCACTACTCAGGCTGGGGCTCGGGGCGTCGGGGCCTCCGAGGAAGTCAGATTCCGAAGGGTCATTGGCAATGACGAGGCGAGGGAGAAGCGGCCTGCGGGGTGCAGAACTTTGATTTTGAGTTTTAGTTCACTCGCTCTCCTCTTCTCGCTCCCCTTCCCCAAAACAACTTTCTCTTCCGGGGTCAGGCAGGACCGCCCCGAAGCGTACCTTGCGTGCTGTGGGCGCCCGCAGCTACCGGAATCCGTGAGGTTTGGAGATATCTGCATGCCCTGGCTGCTACTTTTCGGGACACCGTGTGCTCGCTTCCTACAGCCCCAGAAGCGAGAGCGGGCCAGCCCGCGCCCTGCAAGGTAGTCCGGCCGTGGAGGTGCCCTCTGGTCCTTGGGCACCGCCTGCAGGCTGTGCAACCTGGGAGCAGGTCTTAGGTAGTCGTTGTTTTCTAAGTAGTAGGAGGAAATACCCCTCCCTATTCCACCAAAAGCGTGGGAGTCAGAAAGTCTGTGAGATTCTCCTAGATGAAGAAGCACCCCTCACCCCCAATCGGGAACCCAAAGGCAAAAAGACAAGCTGGCAAGAGGTGAATTCTGAGTCTGGTCTGCTCTGACCAGATGTTGGTCAGTCCACACTGGGCCACTAATTTACTCTCAGTATCTCCTGCTCTAAGCTGGTGTGTTTGAAGGGAAAGATGAGATAGGTGCTTAGGGGCCCCCAGATGGCTCCTGTGTTTCTGCATTAACACCTAACCTCTTTGGAAAGGCCAATTACAGCCTGAAATGAATGGCTGTGTAGGACCCAGGAGACTCACTGCTGACTGACAAGGCTTCCCTTGCCCCTTCCCAATCTCCCCCCACCCCCCCTGGTTGATGCCCAGATACTCATACCCAGGGCCCCAATCTGAACTGCTCCTCTTCTCCTGTAATTGTATGGCACTGCCTGTATCCAGATAACCAAACTGACTCCTTCGCAGGTGATTGCCCACCAAGTCCAAATCAGTGACACTGATGTTTTTTTCAGGGTTTCCAGTCCCTGCTGGCCGCCCCACCCCCATTCTTCACATCTTCCCTGCTAGTGTACTCAACACCAGAGTTACCTCTGGCTTGGTATTCTGTGACACCACCCTGAGTCTACCATCCTGCCCCTCATCCTCCCACCCATGGCCATCTGCCAGTTAAAATTCAGAGTCAGAGAATCCATATTTTTGCCAAGGTTGGCCCCTGCATATGCTCAGTGTCCCGGCAAATTTTGGACTATAACTTGTTTTTCAAGACATGTGGCTCCACAGGTTCTCCTTTCAGTACAGCTGTGCACAAAACTTTCACCTGGGGTGAGTGGAAAGGAGAGCACCTGTCATTTCAAATATACTAATAGGACTGTAGAAGGATCCCAGTACCTCCAAGACTGTAGAAAGATGCAAGTACCTGTCCCTTTCCCTTTCCCTCTACCCCCCACATTGTTGCTTTATCTCTCATTCCTGTCAATTCCTAAATTCCATGTCCTGCCCACTCCATCCTCTATTTTGTTTGTCCAAGTTTAACGTCAATGGGGGGCAACCCTGACTTTATCTTTGCATTCCACAAACATATAGAATGCTCATGTTGTGCCACTTTTAGTGGAAAACTGGTTCCTGACAGGGACATGGGGAAGAGTAAGTCACTGTCTTTTTAAGTTTTCCAACTGCTTTCAAAAAGAACTATAACACCTGACCCCCTCCTCTTAGTTTTTTTTTTTTTAACTTCCTGAGATTATCACATTAGATTATTTTAGTAAGCATTAAATGTGTTTCAAATATGTGGCTCACCTTTTAGAGAATGCAGCCATCAACAAACATTCCCTGTGTGCCTCCCCATGGTGCTTAATGCTTCCCTGTATTATGATTACTTCTTATCATCCTAATCCCAAAGAGATTGTGACCCCTGTCCCACTTGCTTTGTACAACCTGCATCTCTCACAGTGCCATAAATACACTAATAGACCCACAAAACTGTTGAGTTGAGGCCAAGAAAAGTCAGTGACCGGGGCCCTCCCTGGAGCGCAACTGGTTGGAATACAGCACTGCAAGCTGGCCACAACCACTTCAGTGCGAGTTCAATCCCTGGCCCTGGAGGTGATCCACATGGCGCTGCAGACCTCTCCAGAACCACCCGCCGCTCCCCTCAGCAGTGTACTTCATCTGTCTGCCTGTTCTGCTCCCCACTCTGTGTCTAGTGAATATTCGCACAGCCCCTGTACCTGTGGCATCTACCCCTGTTCTGAATACATAAATAAATAAATCTTTAAACAAAAATCAGTGATCAAATTTTTGACTTTCCTTTTTTCAAGGATCTGTCAAGAATCTGAAACATTAGTTTAGTAAGGTGGGGGGAGGGGGACTAAAAGCAATACCTTATCTTGGAATATAGGCCACCAAATCTTTATCTTCCTAAGTGTTTGAAGATTTCCCTGCTAAAATAATTTTTGGGTTTTCTCCCCACAGACAAATGAGTGTGACACAATATAAACAAAATTTAGAACACCATATAAATGAGAGTCTTGAGAACAGTATAATTTACTCATTTTCCATAGCCTTTGGGTCTACACAGAGACTGACTTTGAAGTCTTACAGTGTTATAGTACTGGTTAGGTTAAATCTTATAGCCTCAGTTTTATCATTCAATTGAGGGCAAAGTTCCATGGATTGTCATCAGGTTAAATAGGATGGTGTATGCAAAATGCCTAGCAGGGTGTCAGGCACATGTCAATTCAGTCAGGGAATACTCACAATGCCCTGTATTAACCAGGCTTCAGGGTGACTCCCAAACACTCCTATTTCCTGGCTGGTCACTGCAATCAACTTTATCTTGGTCTCTCTCAGGTTACTCACTTGGGAAGCCAGCTACCTTGTTGAGCAGCCCAGTAAAGAGCTCTGACAGCAATAATGGAGGATTATTGATAGCCGTGGAGGAACAGACCACTTTCCAATAGCTGTGTGATTGAATCCTGCTGGAAGCCCATCCTCAAGATGCAGTCAAACTGTCAAATAACCACAAATAGCCACAGGCAATAGTTTAACTTCAACTTGTTATACACCCTGACTCAGACCACTCAGCTATTTCTGGACTCCAAACCCTCAGAAATTGTTCTGAAGCAGTAACTGTATTATTTTAAGCTGCTAAAATGGGGGGTGAATTGTTACACAGCAACAGATAACTAATAAATGTATGTATCATGCATTAGGTACAGTGAATTTGAATTTTTGAGCATGTTAATTTTAAAGTGTGATTTTTAAAATAACTAAAATCAAAAGATGACAATTCCGAGTGTTATGGGAGATACAGACTAACTGGAATGCATGCATTATTGGTGGGAGTGTAAATTAGTGAAACCATTTTGGAAGTTTCTTTTTTCTTATAAGCTTATACTAACCCAATCATTCAGCATCTAGTTATTTCTACACACACAAAATTGAAAACATGTTTACAAATGTAAATAAAATTGTAAACACTTGTTTACAAATGTTGATAGCAAGTTTGTTAATAATAGCCACAAATTGGAAACAATTCAAATATTTATCAATGTATGAATGAATAAAGTGTGCTGTGTCTAAAGTAAGGAGTAACACTCAACAATACAAGAAGCAAGCTATTAATACATGTAATAATGTGGATGAATCTAAAAAACATGCTGAGCAAAGAAGCCAGATACAAAGGAACATTTAAAATGTGATTCCATAAATTTCTAGAAAATGTAAACTAATATTAAGTGATACAATTGAAATAAGTAGGTGCCTACACCCAGGGGTTGGGGAAGAAGTTGAAGAGGAAAGATTGGTGGTTATAGCCCCAGGGGATTTGGAGGGAGAATAAAAATATTCTATAACTTGATGGTGGTGGTATTTACATAGATATATACAGTTATTGAGCTTAACAAACTACATTTAAACCGGAAAGCTTTTATTATATAAAAAGTACACATTAATAAAGTTAACTTTAAAAGTTAACAAACAGGCCCTCCCTGGTGGCTCAGCGGTTAAAGCACTGCACTAAGAAGCTTAAGCCACTTCTGCATGAGTTCGATTCCCGCCTGCCCCAGAGGTGACCACATGGCGCAGCAGACCTCTCCTGGCCTGTCCACTGCTCCCCTCAGCGTGTACTTCGTCCATCTGCCTGTTCTGCTCCCCACTCTGTCTCTGGTGAATCCTCCGCATCTCTGGCCTACACCCCAGTTCTGTACGAATAAATAAATAAATCTTTAAAACAAAATAAAATAAAACTGTTAAGATTATAGGTTAATAAAGTGAAAAGAACTCTCTATACTTTAGAAAAATACACATTAGGAATTAGTCATTGTCGATACTCTTGTCAGTTATCAGCAAGAGAAAATATAGCATGCTAGTGCTCTGTATGGGTAAACGATATGTAAATTAATGGATTGGTAAAAATGAAACATTTCATTTCTATTATGTCATTTAAATTATTTCAGTGTGAAAGAGATTATATTAGAGGTTCCCCCATCAAAATTCACATCTTCCACTAAAGCCATCTTTCTGTAGACTTCTGCCCTAACTGCAGTCTCTATCAATAGAAGCCTGGCAGCTGATCACAAACCTTCCTCCAGATTTTCATATATATATATATATAATGCTTTACAACGTAAAAGAGCCATTCACATC